AAAATCCCAGGAAGGAATACCGGAGATGTTCCGAACGGTAACTGTCTGGGCTGTAGCTATGGCTATTACCGACTGGGATGCACCAAGCGTGTGGCGGCATTGAATTTACCAAGATTTACCCGCAATTTGCAATAGCAACTTTTTAAAGTTGCTGATGTCCCCTTGCTGAATCAAATTGCATCAAACTGCCACTTTGCGAAAACAGACTGCCAACCGGTTGAACCATGAAATCCTCTGGTGGGCACATCCCAGATCATCCCAGTCTTGTAACATCTTGTAACTGGCTCGCAGGCAGTCTCTTCACAGCTTAGAAGCATCCAGTTATCAAAAAGAATTCTGCAACGATTATATAGTACACTTATACCAGTAGTACCGCACAAGGCGGTGGCGGAAGTTTCAGAATAGGAAACCTATAGGAGACGTTGGTTGTTGTGAATCACGGATGGCAGAGCGAATCCACTGATTGACCGAAAGGTGGTTGGAGTTGTGTTTGCTGGAGTGGTTGCAATGGTTGCAGTGGTCACCTCACCCACAACTGCTGGATGTAGTGTGATGTACTGCAACTGTAGTTGTAGTTGTAGCGTAGTGGAGTTGTAGTTGTGGTGTAATGTAATTAGTGTAGTGTAGTTGCAGTTGTATAGTTGTAGCTGTAGTTGTTTTGTAGTTGTAGTTATAGTTGTTGTAGTTGTAGTTGTAGTTGTAGTAGTTGTTGTTGTTGTTGTAGCTGTAGTTGTTGTGTGGTTGTAGTTGTTGTGTAGTGTAGTTGTAGTAGTAGTTGTTGTTGTAGTTGTTGTAGTTGTTGTAGTTGTTGTAGTTGTTGTAGTTGTTGTTGTTGTTGTTGTTGTTGTAGCTGTAGTTGTTGTTGTAGCTGTAGTTGTTGTAGTTGTAGTTCTAGTTGTAGTTGTTGTGTAGTTGTAGTTGTAGTTGTTGTTGTTGTTGCTGTTGTTGTTGTAGTTGTTGTAGTTCTAGTTGTAGTTGTAGTTGTAGTTGTTGTGTAGTTGTAGTTGTAGTTGTTGTAGTTGTAGTTGTTGTGGTTGGTGTTGTTGTTGTTGTTGCTGTTCCTGTTGTCGTCGAAGTTAGGGTAGTTAAGTTAGTGAAGTTAGTTAAGTTAGTCAAGTTAGTTAACTTAATCAGTGTCTACTTTTTCGACATCTTAACGTCAAAAAAGGCTCAAAACCCTCAGTTTTTTTACACTTTTGACTTGGAAATGTGCTTCGCGCCACAACGGCGTGCACTTTTTCGACACTTTTTCGACATCTGAACCTCCAAAAGTGGTCCGATACCGTCAGTTTTTAACACTTTTGACTTGGAAATGTGCTTCGCGCCACAACGGCGTGCACTTTTTCGACATCGCAACTTCCAAAAGTGGTCCGACCATGGTGTGTTTTGCACATTTTGACTTCAAAATGTGCTTCGCGCCACAACGGTGTGCACTTTTTCGACATCTCAACTTCCAAAAGTGGTCCGACCATGGTGTGTTTTGCACATTTTGACTTCAAAATGTGCTTCGCGCCACAACGGCGTGCACTTTTTCGACATCTCAGCTTCCAAAAGTGGTCCGCTCCTCTAGTGTTTTGTCCATTTTGACTTGGAAATGTGCTTCGCGCCACAACGGCGTGCACTTTTTCATGTCTCATCTGGCCAGCTGGCTCCGCACCCGCCGCTTTAGCGAGCCTACTTTTCGACCCTCCGGAGCCCCAAAATCATTGGAAAAACACAGTGTTTCGCGACTTTCCTACCTTTTCGCGCATCTGCATCTTCTTTCTTCTGATCTTTTCTCTTCTGACTCTTTTCACCTCTGCTTTTCAACTGTCCATATTGTCGGAAGTTTCACTTCTAAACTTCCTTCGACAACCATTTAACTTAACTATGACTCATCGCTCCCCGGAGGGGAAAATAACACTTACAACACAGGATTGTGCAGGCCTTTTTTAAAACACTTCTCGCATCCCGGTGCACAACCAAAGGCACTGATGTGGCGGATGGCGAAAACCCCAGGATTGCCCTGCAGCAAATCTTCATCCGCAGCCCTTAGGCTGTCCACCCCCACCTGCAGTGGATGAACATGACATGCATCCAGCCATATCCAGCCGTACTTGAGGAAGTATGACTGCAATATGAGGCCTTAAGTTCCTCAGGGGAGTATCTGGATTCATAGTGACCGGTATGTTTTAAACATAAGATACACAACATATAAAACCCGTTAAATTCCAAATAAGTTTTCCTTGTTCCACCAAAAACGAGGTAACAACCAGCTGATCTCACTAACCTTAATAAGTACCCTGAATCGGAGGGGTTTAGATCGGAAACAAATCTCTAACCAACAGTAAGATGATAAAAACGAACAAAACCGAAGGAACATGATTTAATATGAAAAACAATGGAAAAATGAAAAAAAAACAAAGAAACTTGATTTTTATCGTCTAAAACCAAATGCACATGGTCATTGTCATAATCCACCAAACGTGTTATTTCTGGTGATTTTTTGAGTTGATTAATCACATATTTATACTTTTCGGTGTTGTGTGCATTTCTGGTAGGTAACCTTAATACATCATCTAAAATGTCTCTGTTTATACTTCCATCTTTTCCACCGGTTCCTGATATATAAATAAAGTGTCTTGCCTGTCTTATATCATCCGGATGGGCTTCTGTATGCATTTGTCAATCCGTGTCTGTCTTCTGTTGCTTTTTTGTTGGCTATGTTCCTTTCTTCTTTATACAGTCTTGTATTTTGTCTGAATTGCTCATTAAGATTTCTTGCAAAGTTGTTTATCTTCTCATCTAAGTCTCTTTGTTTCTTGTCCGTGTCGTTCATCAACTCTTCTCTTCCTTGGCGCATTAATTCATCAAATGCTACTCTACCTATTCTTTTTGCGAGTAATCTCATCTCTTCTCTTGTTAATACATTTTCTATTGCTTGACCTCCCATAATTCTCTGAACAACCTCTCTCCCAAACTGCCTTCCCACCTGTCTCAATGCATTAGTCATTGCTATTCTTCCAACTCCTGCTACAACTCCAATCATTTATTTTTATATTAATGTTTGATAACATCATTTCTAATAATAGATAGTATGATGAGTCATGAGTAATAGATAAACATATAAAAATATTTTTGTAGATAGTAAGTATCGCAATGCTCAATCAAAATCTTCATCTGACTTTTCAGTGGAGTTAAACGAAAACTCAGAAACACCAGAGGAAACAAAACTCTATGTAACTGATATTTCTATTCCAGCGGTGTGGAAATCTACAGAGGCGGGCTTCTATGAATATAGTTATGTTGTGGTCTTCAATGGCGATACATTAGTCACATTTTTAAGGGTAATTAAAACATGAAACAATCACAAGAAAGAAATCAAAATGACAATAAAAAATCTCAAAAAATCTCAAAAAATCTCAAAAAATCTCAAAAAAACAATTTAAAAATAGCAAAAAAATAAATTATGTTTAACAAAAAATCTCAAAAAATCCCAAAAAATCTCAAAAAATCTCAAAAAATCTCAAAAAAGCTCAAAAAATCTCAAAAAATATCAAAAAATCTCAAAACATCTCAAACTTGATGATAGCATGAAAAAATAAAGCTGCAAAACCCCCAAAAAAATGTTTTTGTTTGTTTTTTCATTTTTTTTGCTGATATATTGCATGTGATTGTTGAATTTATTGCTGCAGTCATTTGTCTTTCAGGGATTCGCAGGACGCAGCAGCCTCCTTTGCTGAACCCGTTGCCATTGAAGACCACAACATAAATATACTCATAGAAGCCCACCTCTGTAGATTTCCACACCGCTGGAATAAACATATCAGTTACATAGAGTTTTGTTTCCTCTGGTTTTTCTAAGTTTTCGTTTAACTCCACTGAAAAGTCAGATGAAGATTTTGATTGAGCATTGCGATACTTACTATCTACAGAACTATTTTTATATGTTTATCTATTACTCATGACTCATGATACTATCTATTATTAGAAATGATTTTTATCAAACATGAATATTTTATTTTTTTGATTGGAGTTGTAGCAGGAGTTGGAAGAATAGCAATGACTAATGCATTGAGACAGGTGGGAAGGCAGTTTGGGAGAGAGGTTGTTCAGAGAATTATGGGAGGTCAAGCAATAGAAAATGTATTAACAAGAGAAGAGATGAGATTATTCGCAAAAAAATAGGTAGAGTAGCATTTGATGAATTAATGCGTCAAGGAAGAGAAGAGTTGATGAACGACACGGACAAGAAACAAAGATACCTAGATGAGAAGATGAACAACTTTGCAAGAAATCTTAATGAGCAATTCAGACAAAATACAAGACTGTATAAAGAAGAAAGGAACATAGCCAACAAAAAAACAACAGAAAACAGACACGGATTGACAAATGCATACAGAAGCCCATCGGGATTATACAAGACAGGCAAGACACTTTATTTATATATCAGGAACGGGTGGAAAAGATGGAAGTATCAACAGAGACATTTTAGATGATTTATTAAGGTTACCTACCAGAAATGCACACAACACTGAAAAGTATAAAAATGTGATTAATGAACTCAAAAAATCACCAGAAATAACACGTTCTATCACATGTCCCTCAGATAATATATAATCCACCAATTTTGATTTGTATATACCCATTTGTACCCCAACCAAATAAAAAATGATATAAAATGAAAAAATGATTAAAAAATGCGTTTTTAATGGGATAAAATGCTTAAATATGTGAACAAATGTTTTTTAATGAGTTTTTAAGTTGTTTTGAGTTTATTTATGCGCATGGGGGTTCACAAAGTCTTCTGATCTAAACCCAGCTGATCTAGGGTACTTATTATTTTTGGTGATGATCACAAGTTGTTTTTTGAGGTGCCCCCTTACTTTGTTTCATCTTGGATCAATTTGGCCCTGATATCGAAACTATCCCCCCAATAAGATCCATTTATATATGACAATATATTACATATATAGGGCATCCGGAAAAGAACCACCGTTTTTTGATCGTTGCCATGTGGCTTGAAGCTTCGTGTTGGAAGATGTTCTCTCGCAGCACAGCTCCAGGGCGCGTCGGCACAACTGTAAAGCCTGGCAGCCCAAGGCTTGAGGCGAGTCGAAATCCCCAGGGATCCGCAAAACATGCCAAAACTATGGCTGTGAATACTCAAATTGACAAATTTGGATTTGGGGTATCATTTTAGGACACCTCCATATGGATTACATCTAAAATGTGATCCTTAAAATCTTTTGGATGCCAAGAGGAAAGAGAATGGCCTTGGCAAATTGGTGTTACTGCAACCTCGGTTTCAAAATGCGATAACATTGCGTAACATTGCGTAACCTGGCGTAACATGTCCATCCAATCGGGTTTCGTAGCTTCCAATTTTCTACCACACCATGTGTCCAGGCCTTACGTACATCGCCTGAATGCCCCGCAACACGTGCAGCGCAGTACTTCAGGGCGTCGTTCTTAAATACATCAAGGGCCTGCAATTTTGAGGCTTCTTTGAGGTCAGAATGGCCAGAACCAGAAAAAAATCTGGCTGACTTAAGAACAATTAGGTATCCAGAAACCAATCATTGATATCTCTAATCATATTCATATCCGTATGTTATTCATTGATATCCCTAGCACTCCCTAAATCTCCCTAACCAATATGATATTACAGCTTCATTAGCTCAATAACCTTTTTATATATATATTGCCGCAAAGTTCGGCCATTTAGGGATGAGTCGCAGTCCATCATTCCAGTGACGGAAAACTCCGTGAGGTCATGTTCATTTCCCATATGCTCCATGTATGGTATATTCACCTACAAAACTGAGTGATTTTGTTCGGGCAAATGTTGGTAAATATTCCAGCACCATGGAGCATATGGTTTATCCAGCCCACTACAGAAATTAACCGGGACACAGTGGACACAATGAAAAAACATCGGAACATCGGAAGGCAAATTCGTGCAACATTGTTCAAACTTGTTGAACATGGGGTGTAAAAAATGGAAACGGGTGAAACCAAAACATGAAACAATTTTCAATGGGGATTGTTGCAAACAAGCGGTTTACGTGGAAATTTCGGACATGACCCCGAAAAACTTGATACACGAAAGACGGTAAGCTAAAGCACCAAATGGCAGCAAAAAAAACTATATATATATATATTAAATACCGCGTTATATATATATATATATACAGTAAACTGCAAAATGCCGTTTCTTTCAAATGAACGTGTTCCACACGTGTTTTCCCCTTGACCCCCCGATTGGCCGTCACATTCCCTGCTGATCAACGCGGCCCGTGTTTCTTGCATGTTGCATTCAGGATAGCATCGGATAGCATACCCAGCATCCATTGTTACACATGTTGGTCTTCCAAGTGGGCCCTATGTGGTCAAAATGTGTCAGAATAATAAGTCGAAAAAAACACCGTTTTTACGGTTTCCTTCGCCTTAGCATGTCTAAATGGCGACAGTTGATAAGAGCGTATTGTCCGTTGGTAGCCAGTTTTGTATCTGTTTGGTTGCGCTGGGCGAACTATATCCAATATTTGGACTCCAAAATATGTCTAAAGATGTCCAAAGATTGAAACATACCCATTTTGAACTTTGAAGTACCTCCATTTGTCGAAGCAACTCAACTATATACGTACGCTACCGTCTGCATCTGTGTGCTCATTTTCCAACTTTGCTTCGGTTTGGTGAACTTTCAAGCATGTTCGTTTTCACCTAACCATTCACCACCCAGAAACAGAAACTTTCAACGGACCTGATGACTTTCTAAGCGCCGTCGCAGAATGTCGTGGATCTGATCTCTCCTTGGGATGTCAGAATCTCAGCCCGGCAATATCTCACACTGACCTAAGTGTTTTAAACACCAGGCAGCAAACTGGTGTATTATGCTGTATATATATATATAAGCCATGGATGCATTTTCAGCACCGTTTTTTATTTCCCCTTCATCATTGCCAATGTTCAAAATAATGGAGTTTTTGATAGTTTTTTTCGCTGGTCAGTCTATTTTCTTTCATTCACTTCCCAGCACAAAGAAACACAAAAATCGACCTGCAAACCTTCAATCAGAGATGACACACCCTTCCAAAACAAAAAAAGGGGTCGCCCCACTCCGCGAAAAAACATCGCCCCAGCATCGTATAGCTTCTGAAGTCCACCCGGTCAAAGCCAAGGCGGGTGCAAACCTTTGGCAACAAGCCTCGCTTTCAAGGCACTGGGCAGGATCAGCGCCGGACAGGTTGGGTAAGAAACCCGGTTAGTTCTTGGATAATTGTATTAATTACTTATTTATTAGTAAGTACTTATTACTTATATAGAAATTGGGACTGGAAACATAGGAATCGTATATACCTAGACCCTCCAAATATTCCAAAAATGGTAAGAGTACTAAAATTATGGCATAACACATCATTTTTGAGGGTACAAACCTATAGGGTCTAGGTATAGAAGTATGGTACATGGGACATAAACCGAAAAGATCAGGTGACCTTTGGACAGGACATCCAGAGCATCTGGTGGTTCTGTCGGAATGGTCCCAGCAGGATTTTCCAACGGATCAGGATTTCAAGATCGACCGGTCGATCATCTCAACGTGACCGATGAAGGCCCTGGTCGGCATCATATGCTGCGCCCGATCTTAGAGACTTCTATGATGACATGCATCTCCTTCACTTTCGAAACATATAAAATTTTTTGGCTATATGCTAGTTAGCCTCCAGTAAACTAACATAGACCCTGCCAGATAGGGGTTGGAAGATTAGTTTTCATTAAACAAATGTTATTTTCAGGGGGTCTATGTCTATGTTAATTTACCAGAGGGTACTATATCCCCAAGATTCTTGCTATTCCTGTCATCCATCTCGCAGACAGCTGAATCCTCAATCCCTCCAGGGGACGTTCCGGCAGATCGATGTTGTTTGAGATAGTCACCATGGCCTAAACTCGACAACACAAAATAGCCGGATTCCGGTCAGGGCCGGTCATGGAACCGATACCCATCAGTTACAGAGATCCAGAAAAAGAATGCATAAACAATATGTAAACATGGGGCGGTTCCATAAATGGGGGATACCCAATAGCTGGATGGTTTATATTTCGGAAAATCCTATTAACATGGATGATTTAGGGGTACCCCCATGACTGGGAGACCTCCATATAGTGGTGTAATCAACAAGCACCAGGCAGCACAGAGACAACCCTGGTGCTCCATGCAAGGTGTTGGATGCGGTTTTTGCCATGTGTATCTTGAAATTTACATGACCAAATTGTCTCTGAATATCTCTTAATCAAAATCTGGTGCTTTCTTAACAGCTTAAAATTGTGGGTCCCCAGTCGTCACCATTGGTTTCAATACTAAGTTATGGTCCCCATCATGACGACTGGATTTGGAGTACCCCATCATGACTTCGGAAACCTCCTGGCATGTTCAAGAGGTGGTCAATTCAGGCCGGGCCCCTAGCATATGGAAACACAGGAGTTGATGGTAAAACCACATCAAAATCACTCAAATCGATTGACTTACCCTCCAGTATGTTATAGTATCTAGCTATGGATCATAGCACATTTACTTCGATGATTTACCTATTAAACATGGTGTTTTCAAAAATACTATATAGCTATGATAGTGCACCAGGGGGTACCATGATTTGCGGCCGCAGGCTGAAATCATGACATTGCATGGGATCATTACCAAACATCCTTCCTATGACTTCACTTAAACCAAATATATTTATATTTCAGAACACAATATTTTTCTGATTGGTTTTTGTGTGTTCTTGATTTGCTTGAGATATGATCTTGGCCAAAACAACACATTTTAATCTTGCTTTCCACAGAAAAAAGACATGACCAAAACCATCACCATCACCGGGTCATGCCGCGGCCAAGTCACCAGCTGGGGCTGAGGCAAGGTAATTAAACTGAAGATACGATAGAGGATGGCCTGAAGATACGGCGGAGATCCCAAGAGTTTTGGCCGTCATGATCAGAACTGGGGCGAGACAAGCATAACATACGTATGACATACCAGAACATAGAATTTCCAAACAAACATTTAAGGTATTGTGAGGTATTTCCAACCAGGACCCATACCATACTATGTTCCATAAGATACCTTGAGGTATTTTAAGGTCATTTATTGGAAAATTATAAGAATTCTTGGCAAAATATAGCAATTCACTAACCTGATATAAGGCCAAATTTGCCGGGAGAATTGGGCTTTATGAGTTGCTGCGTGAACAAAGGTCATAGTACATCCACTTTTGTTTTCGATCGGGGGATCTCACATCAGTTGCCGAGTTGGCTGACGGGTGGTCCAACACAAAACAGCCAGAATATACATAAAAACAAGAAAGTAACGTACATGAATAAATCAGTGTATGTACGTATGCATGTATGTATGTATGTATGTACGTATGTACGTATGTACGTATGTACGTATGTATGTATGTCTGTGTGTGTGTGTATGTATGTATGTATGTATGTATGTATGTATGTATGTATTTGTGTATGTATGCATGTATGTATGTATGTATGTATGTGTGTATGTATGTATGTATGTATGTGTATGTATGTGTATGTATGTATGCATGCATGTATGTATGTATGCATGATGCATGCATGTATGTATGTATGTGTGTATGTATGTATGTATGTATGTATGTATGTATGTATGTATGTATGTATGTATGTATGTATGTATGTGTATGTATGTATGTATTTCTGTATGTATGTATGTATGTGTGTA